CGCGGAAAGTTGATGGCCCTCTGAGCGCTTCTCAAGGACCGAGCGCGGGAAGTGTGGGACGCGGCACGAAGAGGCCCGGGGAAAATGAAGTGGGCCGCCAGGAATGACTCCCTGATCGCGGGTTTCGACAACCCGGTCGACAGCCAGAAGGCCTGGCGGAGCTTCCAGACGGCGCAGCTCGGAGTTGGGGTGGACCTTCTGTCGCACACCGTGGCCCTAAACGCCCTGCTGGATCGAGCGCTGCCAACTTTGAATGACGCTGCTCGCTTGGAATTATTACTGGAGCGTTTCGTGGAGAGTTTGCCAGACAATCTGCGGGAAAAGGCGCAAATGTTCTAAGCGGGCGTGTCACGGATGTATTCAGGTTGGTTGAAGCCATGAGACAGTTAACAAATCATGAAGTTTCGGCTCTCCAAACTCACTAAATCCCGAAAAGACAGCCGCCGGAGGATGTCACGTAAGCCCTAAAAAAGCTGAGAGAAGAAGTAGCAACACTGAAATCAAACTGTGGAGTAAGAACGAACAGGAATGTATGCTTTCAATGCGGCAAACTGGGCCACTGGCGGAGGTATTGCCCAGAAGGATACAAAAGACGTTCTCTCGGGAAACGGTTTACGCAGAACACGCCCATCGCTTCAAACAAGGCTATAATAGGAGCTGTAGATCGCGGTGCACTCCATGCCCAATTGGAGATACATTTTTGGAAAGAGTTATGCCTAATCAACACTGGTGTGGCAATATCGTTGGTGAGACCCCAAGCAAATGAACCCCTGGAACCAAGGACAATTAATTCCGAGAAGACCATGGATGTATTCAAATTGCAAGAAATTCGCTCCTGTCCAGCCCACTGAAGGCCATGAACGCCAGCCTACAGTAATTACGGCAACTCTCAAGGAATTAACGAAGGAGCCGAACCGATTACGAGCAGACAGCTGTCCAGAATGGGGATTTTGAGCTCGAAGATCCAAAGTGCTGGCCGAAAAATTGCCCCAAAACAGCGCAAGTGGTTCCTGAGAGAATCCCTGATTTCGTTCAAATCGTTGTATTCGGACAAGACTCCCTGCGGAACGAATGATCCTTGTTCAGTCCAGACCCATATGGAAAAGGGGGATCAGAAAAGGCCATGTTTGTGTGACACATGTGCTGCTGCTGTATATGGCAGAACTTCAGCCAACTGAGTCATTAGAAGCCTCGAGTACGGCAGAAAAGACAGTTGGCGAACATGAGCCGCAAGTTGACAGCGCGGGAAATCAAACTTTCTCTATCGAGAACACCACAGAAAAGCTAAATTTTTCCAGGTGGCAAAACAAAACCATAGACAAGTCAAGAATGCCGGTGAAATGGAAACCAAGCGCACTTCTGAAAGTGCCGGAATCAGAGCACAATCACCATGTCGGAGGCCGTATCGGTGACCCTGAAGCAGCAAAGTTACTCCCTAGATGGCGAATTTCGTGTGGAATCCAGATGACAAAGATTCCAATGAACATATTTCAGAAGATAAGTGACGACAGAGGTGCGTACCAAAGAGAACACGATAGATGGCGCAGGGACCACAGCCGAACGCCAAATCGTCAGAAATGAACCTACTGGTCGAGTCACCAAAAATCAATGATGAAGCCACACAAAACCGTCAACCAAATACGAATCCGTTCTCAAAAAAAAGAAATCATTGCCCGCTGCATGCAGAGTTCCTTTTCACCGAGAGGAATAGTGTTTTGAGATACTACTCACTTGTGAGTAGTACGCAAAAGGATGCGATCAGCGGTTTCTTTCAACTTCTTGTTTCCTTATGAGCGGCATCGGGTCTTCAGTTCAGTACTCCCGTTGGTGGAGCACAGCACCAATGAAAATTTAATTGTCTCCTTCCGTCGTCGAGTATTCTCGAACAAAATCAACAGCTACTGCAAACATAACTCGAGATCAAAGGCAATTCCGTCCGACCGTGACCGTACGCGACGAAGGCCAAGTCTCCAGGAGCGATTGTAAAATTTGAGTGCTCTTCTACTTTCCAGTCCTGCACCGTATGAATAAAATTGTGATACTCGGCGTCTCCGAGTAACAAGCCAAAATTACAAATTGCATATCGTCCGGTTGAATCCAAACCTCAGTTGTTTTCTTTGTCACAACTGGATAAAGCCAAAATGAATATTGGCCCCAACGAATTTCACCGCAGCGGGATGGTAAAATTTGAGTACTGTACCGGACTGTCGTCCAGTGGTTGAGTGACTGGTAGATACGAACCTCAAGTCCGATTCCATATAACGAGAAGTCGGTAATCTTAGTGTACTATAACCAAGCATATATGTACAAAAACAAGCACCATATCTCAAATTGTGGGCCAATCCGGTCTCCACAGTACAAGAACAAGATACAAAGCGGTTCAAGGCGCAGAAGAAAACACCTGCGGAGCGGCCACCAAAAGGAATGCAAATTATGCACAGAAACAGGACAATTTAAGGGATAGAAACACCAATCGCAAGTGATCGATAATGAAGCGCAGTCATTGGGCAATGCAAAGCACACAAACGGTTTGCAGGATCCTATGGAATAAAGCAGTCCGCTAAGCGAATGAATCGAACAATCAAATATGAAGATCAACATAAAGTGGACGGGATGACAATGAACTAGCACCAACCGCTGGTGGGGGAACGAATCCAGGGTAGTTCGTATGTAATGACGTACGAGATTGGTAAGCGTGGAACAGCAAGAGTTCAAGGACGATAAGGGTAGAAGACGCACAAATGAATGGAACGAGGAAGACTTAGAGGCGGCATGTGAACAATAACAACAAAGTACAAAGTATGTTATCGGACCAAATCGGGGCACGATGATGGGCAAAGTACATTCGAAGATCATCTGTAAATGGGTCACATGGGTGCACAGTTAATCGAACCGAACCGGGGCAAAACCTGTGACGCGATTAATTTTTCCAAGTAAGTCGATACACCTGTGATTCGCTAATCAATGTCCATTCTCGTGAAAAGCCCGAGAAGTGACTGATACCCATCCAGGTCGCGGAGGAGGGAGAGGAAGGAACCATTTCTGTCGGTATCTTCTCATCAATCCAACAGCCTTACTAAAAAAACTCACTGTTATGTGACCTTGAGAGTTTACTGGAATGCAACTTTTGATCACTGTTCTCTGCGTAGTTTGACGTGCGTGAAATGGCCTTAACCGGTCAGCACTATCAATGCAAATAAGTTCGCACTGTTGGATGTACGCTAGTGTCAAGTTCGCCGTCACGAACGAATGTCCATGAACAGATCTCTCTCATTTAGATTGGATAATTAGCGTGCATACCTCTTACATTCGGTTACTCCTGCATTTTCTTTTATTGTGCTCTGAATTGCACCTCAAAATTGACAGATCACATCAAGGGAGATATTGGAGAAGCTCACTGTGAGACCAGAAATGAAGTTACAACGAACTAGCATTTTTTCGAAACCAAAACAGCCGACCGAAAATCAACCACAGTATATTTCTTGTTATAACCTGATAGTGTGCCTGACTACGTGGAAAGGAGTGTGTGCATAGTCAGTTTGGGCGATTGATACTCCGGTTCCAACAATATGCTTAGCTGGTTTCTGCTCTCCCGACTTGTTCCATTTGACATCCACCTGCTGCCAATAACCGGAGTGAAGTTTCAACAAGCTTTGTTCTTTGAATGTTCTCGGGTCTTCTCGTCCATGGCGGTGAGAATTTGTGCTAAACGTGTGTGGAGTAGCAAACTTTTCTTATAGAGATTTACGATAGGCACAATACGATTGACGACTTCACTGAGTGGATGTGATCACCAGGTCAAAAGGGCAGGCAGCATGCAAGCGATGAATCGGTTTCAGAAAGAAATTTGATAGCAAACGACACATACGATTGGGTACGAGAATCACAGTAATTCGGGAGAACGAGCAAGTATTGGGATAGTGGAAACGTAACAGGTGATAGTCAGGCTGGGACAGATTACCTTGAAGTCTATTTGAAGCAGACCTGAAAATACTACACGGGGAAAACAAGGAATAATTGGGGGAAAATTAATCCTTTGTCAAAAAAGAAGATATCACCGTTTGACACTCCGAATTGCCCCAACTTGTAAATCTAAAAGGGTCAATGATGCAATTAAGAGTAGTAAATTTAGAATAATCCATTCGATTGTTCATAGGCACCAACCACGGTTGCTAGTCCAACTTTACTACTCCTGATTACTTGAGCCATTCACACAAAGTGATGAATGTCGACCGTGTAGTTCAGGGGTAAGAGTTTGAAGTCCTGACTCAAATGTTCGCGGTACGAGTCCTGACAGGGACACAAACTGTATGTACTGTTGACGAGTTCCAACCAGGACGAAACAGCTGTACAGTGCTATTTGACGATCATCACAAATCTTTCCATCGCTTACAGATCAAAGATGCAGTTTACCCACTGTGTTTCAATGTGTTCAGTCCATAGTTCGAAAAACGACACCTAGGTATCGAGTAGTATCAGTAGTGGGAAGTCAAAAAGGACAAATTGTAGGGAAAGAGAATGTATGGAATTCCGGCACGAAGGAGTGTGGAAATTGTATTCAAAACATTTGTGTTCTCTGTGCAAATACATAAGAGATTATCTGGGAATTCAGTGAGCCCGACTGAAGAGCAATAGTTTGTGATAGAACAGCGCAGTCCGCAAAGTGTAAAAGGGGAACAGGAGAATGGATGTTCAGATCACGGGAGATAAACTGAGACGAAATAATGAGTGTGTTTCTACTACTCCTTGGAATACTTAAAAATTGCTCACTGGCGAGGATTGGATATGTTTATTTTTCGAGATGGAGTTTCCAATCCGAGAAAGCACATAATCAGGACACACAAGATTGTAAAACTTTGGAAAATGAGGCAGGAATGAGGATGACAAATCGAATGTTAACCGATGGTCAAGAAAAGCACAAAAAAGAAAATTCGTTTAGAGATTTTCCAACAAATTCCACTAAAGAAGAACAAGTTCAACTTTTGTAAGTAAATTGAAAAGCATTACTTGGAATGGTGAAAGTACAACGAGGCTGTTGAGGGGTCACCTGCTCCACTAATGTAAGTTCGGAGGAAGACAGTGCAATGTGGCAAAATTTGATGGTTTGAGTTCCACTGACAGAATTTTCCGCGACAGGATGGTTGTTACAAGACGCCGATTTTGAAAAACGGAGCAGGATTCTAATTAGCCATCAGAAAACCGTTATGAATGATTACATGGCTGGTGTGATCGCGCAGTGCAAGATCGAAGAAATTTCCAAAGAAAGTGGGAAGCAAGCTAACTGGTTGGATTCGGAAGTAGCGGTGCATTTAGGAATTATTTACCCCAGGAGAAGGTAT